AAGCAGGAGTTTTTACACTGTACCGCAGGCAACGCCTTAGTGTGAAAACATACATAGATATAAATGCACATACATATTGAAGCATTTTTCTTGAGCTTTTCAGGTGCTTTCTTTAATCAAAAAAAACACTTCAAAATCTCCTCAGTGTGAAAGTAGCCAAAGAGATAGATTGAGCCTTTGGTTCATTGTCATCAACATGCTCATATACAGAATATAATGCGTGCCAAATGCAAGTCCCAGTTACTTGGGCTGCTGTTGGCAAATTAGATAGTGAGCAGATCTAGTTCACAATTCCAATCTGTTAAAACATCTGTTAAAAAGTGTGCGACATGTACTGTAGTTTTAGGAAGCAGCTTATCATGTACTTAAATGACCCAGTGTGGCCCCCAGGGAGACAAAGACCTCTGATTACACAGGTTGGAGGGCTCTAACAGGGGAATCAGACCTTGTCCTGACAAATTACTGCTGCCTGGGGGATAAGGTGACAACGAATCTGGCTCTTACCTGGGGTAGACAATCGCTGGATAACAGCTCACATTTATGGGGCTTTAGACTTTATTACTGGTCTAGGCTTATATACAGTTACTTTAACTGTCATACCAAAAATGCCGCATTGCCCATGGCAACCAATCAGCAGTCAATGTTTGAAAGTGTATCCAATGATTCTAGTTATTTGCTATGAGCAACATTATTTTTATTTCCTATAGCATATTTTTATCACATTAACCCCTTGTTGATGAGTAGTACGATGGTAAAATCAGCAGCTGATGTCCCTGAATATGATCACTGCCTAGTGTGCACACAGCTAGCTGAGGATCTAATCAGTGCAAGGATTTCTAACCTAGACTTTCCCTGAAAGACTAATTAACTCGCCCCCTCCCTATTGACACTGGCTACTGTTTGTTTAATGAAATGACCCTCCAGTTAATTAGCTGTAAATGGCACAACAGCAATCAGCCAAGGTGTGAATGCACTTTAAGCTAGTCTCAGGAGCACAGGAAGCTTGCAACAAAGGAATTTGCAATTTACAGGGCTTTATGAAACCCAGTGCTAAATGTAGAAGGAGTTCTAGTCCTTCATGTTATAGTTAAAAAATATACAGCATGCAATCTTACAAACAATTGTGTATGGATAAGATATCTATATATATATTTTTTTTTTTATTCCAGCTATTTAAAAGTATATAGGGCAGCGGTCGCCAACCTTTCGGACCTCACGGACCACTAAATTCATAATTTTAAATCCCGCGAACCACTAATATGAATTTTTTAAAAAGATAAATACATTTGTAAAATAATGATCAGAGAACTTCCATTTTCTGAAGATGAAATGCACCTATTTAATATCACAAAATTATAAATGCTTATTTAATTATAACAAAATCGTAAATGCTTATTTAATCATAATAAAATTTTTAAAGGTTGTTTAATTGTAACAAAAATTACACTGTTCAACATGTAAAAAGTTTTGGGCATAAAATTAGCTAATCTTACATAATTTTGGGGTGCTGAAAACGAAAATGACCCTAAAAAATGTTGATTGGCTCTAGTTTCCTAGATTTCTAGTATCTAATGACGTAAGCCATTCAAAATTATGATGCAACTTCAGCTGCATATTGCGCAATTGATACTGGTGACCAATAGAAAATTGCATGTATACTGAGATGATGCAATATTAGCCTTTAATTGCATCACTTCACTGCATAAAAGCTGCAGTATCAGTAGCTGATTGTAGTTCGACAGCGTCTTTACATTTCGTTTTATGCTTATATAGGCTACTCAGTAATGCCTCGAACTTGTGTGAATAAAGCAGATAATTTCTGCTATATCTGCGGTGAAATAACTTTTATCTCACAAAAAAGGAGGATAACAGGAATGATTAAGAAAGCCTACAACTTGTATTTTGGCTGCAAGATAGGAGACCAGGACAAGAGCTGGGCACCACATATATGCTGCAATTCTTGTGGGACGGCACTGGAGCAATGGTTGAATGGAAAAAAGGCATCTATGCCTTTCGCTGTGCCAATGATTTGGAGAGAGCCAACAGATCATGTTAGTAATTGTTACTTTTGTATGGTGCCTCCAATTGTAAAAGGGCTAAATAAGAAGAAAAAGTTATCTGTGCACTATCCAAATATTCCATCGGCAATACGTCCAGTTCCTCATGGAGAGGGGCTACCAATTCCTAAAGCACCAGAATCCTTCGTGGTTGAGTCAAGTGAGGAAGAACCTGAAGCGTGTAGTCACGTGCAGTTGTAAGAGATAGCCCCTTCCTCGAATACAAGAGAAAAGCCAAGAGAAGCAAAACCGACACAAACTGAAGACAAAACTAGTGAGAATCCTAAGTATTAAAATGATTCAACTTAGCTTATGGCTATAATTTTTCTTGGTAATCCTATGCAATATATTATGCCATTTAGGCTTTGTTATGTAGTCAATATCACTTGCTTTATATTTGTGGAAAGACATCTATCTATATAATTATTGTGCATTATGTAGTCATTACGCCTATAGTAGAAAACTTTCTGTTTACAGAAAAACTAGAGCCAATTGACAAATTTCATTGTTATATTTGAACTCAGAATGTGAAATTCATTAAGAAATGGATCCTTTTGTTTCCAAAACTGGCAAAAAATAAAAATTTGTTGAACAGTGTTATTAAAGTTAGTTTACTTATTATAAATTAACTGAAGCTTATTTCAGTATTACACATTTTTAGTGTGATATTTGTTCCTGCTTGTTTGAAATACGTTTATGGATTTTTGGCTCCAATGATGTTACTGCAAGACGGAGAGACATTTTTATAGCAAGCCGAGACCGCTACCGACAATACTGAAGTGTACGGCTCAGCAACGGTTGCGTTATACAACTTACGACTTCCCTGATGTCATGCTGCGCCTCTCGTTTCCCCCTCTCTAGTACAGTTCGTGAATTTAGTGCAATATAAAGGGGAAAATTGTCATTCATAATATAAGAATTTCTTAGAATATCAGTTTTGTTTTATTATTAATAAAACATAAAAAATGCAAGTAATGTCCAGATTTTTCTGCGGCCCATCAAAAGTTTCTCACAGACCACCAGCGGTCCACGGACCATTGGTTGGCGACCGCTGATATAGAGTATGCAAGTTTATAAAGTATGCAATGTTACAATGTATTAATTATATATATATATATATATATATATATATATATATATATATATAAATAATTTTTGTTTGTTTTTAATTATTTAATTATGTATTTATATGTCATTGGCTGTTTAAAAGGGTGATTCCAACTAAACATGATATTTTTGGGTACATACCGAGCCATAGGCTAAGCCAGCACCAGTTTTCTTATATGTCTTGGATACTACCCCTAAGCCTGGGTTCACACTTCTGCAGTGCGGCATATCACTTGTGATTCCTGTGCAAATTCTGCATGGTGCGAGTTGAGCCATACATACATTTTGTATTGCTCAAATTGCTCTGCATCTGCAACAAAAAGGTGCAGGACCCTATTTTGGATCTGCACTAGAATTGGATTGTATGGGTATTCACACCCATGCGATCTGATTCTTCACATCGCACCACATTTTGCGAACCGATTTTGGGATGTTGTTAACTTAACATACACACCCGCAGTGGTTTGTATGAACGGGTGCGATTGTGATGCAGTGCGGAATTTGCACAAAAACCGGTGCAAATTCTGCATGGCATCAGTGTGAACCCAGACTCAGTATCTCCCTAAATCAGTTGCTATTCACCTAGGAGTTTTTATTGTTCTAGTATTTTCTACTGTGTATAATATATGTATATATAGTATTAGGAACCAATGTTCACATTATGGGGTTGATTTACTAAAGGCAAATAGACTATGCACTTTGCAAGTGCAATTGCTCAAGAGCTTAGTAAAGCTATGCTGACATCCATCAACCAGCATGTGCAAGCAAAAATACTGGGTTTTTTCCCTTGTATGTGATTGGGTATTTTTTGTTTTGCAGAGTTTTGCTTTTCTCATTTACTAAGCTCTGGAGCAACGGCACTTGCAGAGTGCACAGTCTATTTGGCTTTAGTAAATCAGCCCCTATAAATGCAGCCTCAGCAACTTGAGTGCAGAATTCTCACTCAAAGATATATAAGAAAATGGAAACATTTATGTGGACTGGCTGATCTTTAGACTTGAAAAAGATAGTGTACATCAATTGAAAAAAAAAAAAGCAACAATCACTGATCTGGGTTGAAGGATACAAGCCAGAGCATTATATTTTAAATATATATTTTTGCACATAAGGGCAGTGCGGAAGTGGCTAAGAAGACATGGGGGGAAAAAATCTTGCACACTGGGAAACTTCAAAATGTGTTTATTTATATACAAAATAACACAGAGACTCCACATTGTGATTGTCCTCATTAATGCAATAGGCAGTAAATAAATAGGCTTAGTAAAAGGCAGTCATGGAATTGCAGGTTGGGGGTTATTGGGGAACTGCACAAACAGGGACAATAAAGGACTGTGGTACACCTGTCTATGCACGCCTGCTACTTTGTTTGGCAGAGATGTAGTACAGTGGCTTTTCAGGAGGGGGAAGTAAAAAGTCTTTTATTCAAGTCAGTGTAGAAGGAAGTCTCATAAAGGCAGTAAGTCACTCTGTGGTCACTGTATATATTAAGGCAGTGATCATTGTTTAGGCAGCAAATGAAAGAGGTGCAAACCAAAAGGGCTAGAATCAAAAGTTGCACTGCCATTAATTGCACTTAGAACCCAACAGAAATAAATACTGTTAGAATAAACTATTTTTTTCATGGAAAAAATATCATGCATATATACATTCACATGTAAACAAATGAAGGCCCCTTGGTGTACACTGACAGCAGACAAACCCCAATCAGTGGGTTAAAGAGATCACAATCCGATACATAGGCAGTATCAGAACCTAAGGGGTCTTCATAGGTCCTCATGACCAAGTGCAAATGGTTCTGTAAACTCCCATGAGATGACCCCATGTCCATATAGTTCATTATTCAGATTGTTTGGGGACCCAGGTAAATTTCCAACCCCCTTCCCCATCTCTGCGAACAAATGCTTGTCCATTGGAGAAGCTGTGAGTCTTCACATTGCAATGAGGGTTCAGGGATGTGGAGAAGGCAACTTCTGTTTTGTTAGGAGACACCTCTGGAGTATAACAAATAGGAGAGCCAAATGGGCTGACTGGCTCACTTTTTGGCAGGGGTGTAGAACTGCAGGAGGAAGGGGAATAGTTTGGCATATAGGGAGAGTCTAGGTTGCTCCCAGCCTGGCTGTGCAAAGGGGACATATGGATTGTACTGTATCCAGAAGAGGGGGAGTCTTGTATACTTCCATACTCTGCTCCCCCAACGTCCATGAGCTCTTTAGGGATGGCACTGTAGTTAGCTGATGCAGAATCATCAATGGTGTTGACATCTTTGAGTCCCAGAGTCTGCAGGACCCAGGATGCTACCGTAGAACTGGATTGTCCTTCACAGGCAGTGAAATCGTTATAAAGATTCCTCTTGGCCTTTTTGGCTGAGGTTTCAGGAGAGGCAAGGCTGCTAACCCTGGCTTTTCTCTTTAGGGGAGCACCCAGGCCATGCTGGGACAGCAGTTTCTGTAGAGGAAAATAACAAGAAAATATTTGCAACAATACCAAGTACTAAAGTGCCACATATAGCTGAGATCAGCAAATAAAAAAAAAAGTAATGAGCATTGAAGAGCAACAGGCACCCATCTAGTCCTACAGACTTGCTGGAATTTGTAGTTATACAACAGCTGATAAGCCACATTTTGCATTTAGGACCCTTTCACACAGAGTGGACCCATCAGTGGATTAGCTTGCTCAGTGGGGGATCTCTCTGCTGAGGTCCATGTCCATGTCCACTCCACCGCTGCACAGTGGACACAGACACAGGTCGCTGTCCTCTGTGGGTGGTTGGATGGAAGCGGACCACCTGTCCATTTCCATCTGACTGTTATCACATCCGATCCGACAGACGGAAGGGGAATAGACCCACATCTGTCTTTTTTTTTGGTGAATCAATCGGTTTGGATGTTGGCGAGTGTAAATGGACACGTCTGTTTACACCCACAGCTTCATAGAGGAGAACAGAAGTTCTGATAAGGTCTTCCTGAAAAACGGGCATGTGGACCTGATCGGAATGTCCGCGTGAAAGGGGCCTTAAGCAATATCACCACTCTGTGCAAATTCTAGGACATTATGGGGTTGACTTAAAAAATTATTTTCATTTTGCAAGGAAATTTGCACTTAGTTCAGTGAATGAGGCAAAACTCTACTTCTTCATCCAATCATGTGCATGCAAAAATATTAGTTTTTTTTACTTTCCTTGCACATGATTGGGTATTCTTTGCAAAGAAATTTTCATAATATTCACTAAGGGTCCTTTCAAACTTATGCAGTTTTGATGCGTTTCCCATGGACCTACAATGGAAGATGTATTTTTAGCATACTTTCAAAAAACTGCACCAAAGATGCAGCTTGCAGGACTTTTCAAAGGGCATTGCACCTGCAGTGTGAACAGTTACATAGAAATGAATGGGGAATAGTTTTCAACTGCTATTTTTTTGCCTTGGAAAAGTGCAACAAAAGTGCACCAATGCGAAAGGGGCCTAACCCAAGGTAAAATTTCCCTGCAAAGTGAACAGCCTATTTACCAATAAATCAACCCTACTAGATAAGAATTGTTTAGCATTGCTAAGTTTTTAAGCATTCATTTTCTATACCTAGGCAAAATTATTGTTTGTCAGGGGTGGTATTTCAGAAAACAATTCCTAAGTCTTAAAGTGTTCCTAAACCCAGGACCCTGCATTCACTATATCTGGTCTCCCACAGTACATATAACATGGAAATGCAATTATTTTAGTAAATATAAACTGCTAAATACCTTTTATCATCAGCAGTTAGGACCAGGGGTGGACTGACAACTCATGGGGCCCCTGGGCAATAGGGGATCATGGGGCCCCTGTGTCCTCGCCCACACTCAAACCACACCCAAAAAAGCCTATGAAAGGTACCAGGGGCATCTCATGGGGCCCTCTACTGACCCTGTGCCCTCTGGCAGTGCCTGAGCACCCACATGGTCAGTCCGCCCCTGGTTAGGACAGTCTTGTGACTTCTATCAGTGTCCAGAACTGGTTAAAGCTTGTAGGAGGAATTCTCTTTGTGCTCTAGGAGGATGCAGAACCACTGACCTCTGTCTGGACAGTGCTGATTGGCCCTGGGCTGATCACATGCACTCTCCCAAGATAAAAAAAACCCTCTGGAGCAATACACACCAAACTGAGCATGTGCATGTGGCTATGGGTTCAGTCTGTCTTATCAGGAGATAAGACATGGACATTTGAACAAGAGAAGGAGCAGAGAAAACAGAATCAAATGGTCTTTTTACACAATGCAGAGGATTAACCCCTTAGGTTCCACAGTGAGTATAACAAGCATGCTTTACTGCATACAGACTGATTTTACTGTTTCAGTACTTTTCTTTTAAGAGGCAGATGCTGACGTGGAACTACAAGTACCAGCATGCCATCCTCTCAGAAGCCCCAGACTTCTGCTGAAAAGTGAAAGGACAGCACTCTGGTGAGTGTGGAGCTATTGGGGGCTTTAGAAGTCCGGAGCAGAGATTAGTGGGACATTCCTGCAGTGAGCTGCTAATCCTGGATGTACGGGGCTGGAGAGGGAAGCCGCGGGGGTGTCACACAGGTACAGGTGCCATTTCCAAGCACTTAGCTTACAGGCGACACAACGGAGATCCATTTACAGCTGATCACAGCCGGAGCCACTTCCAGAGTCTTTGGTAAGGCCAGACTGCTCGGCACATTAGCAGGACTGTCATCGCTGTCAGTAATCCCATCAGCACAGCAGACAAGTCATGACAGCAGTGCAAGTGTCAGTGTCCCTATCTCCGCAGATCCCTATCACTCCACTTCATCGTACTGCAGGGATCGAACATTAGGAAGAATCAGGCTGCTGCTAATGCTATCTGTACACACCCGATTATTATAGGAAGGTCTCCCTGGCCAGACATCAGATATCTATTGTTCTAGGAGACAAGGGAATGATCACTACACACCTTGGTCTTCTCCTCCAAGCATTTCACGAAGGTAGAGTTCAGGTATTGCTTCAGCTTATTGTTCTCCTCGTGTAGTCGGGCCAGCTCCTCTTCCCTCTGCACCAAGGTATCTTGAAGCTGTGCGACACATCGGACAACACACGGATCAGCAGACACATCATTTAACCCCTTAAATGCCTCACATTCACTAGAAAACCAGTCTACCTGTTTGTTTGTGGTCAGCTGAGAAGATAGCTGCTCATTCCATACATAATCATCTTGTAGTGTGCTGCCAGCATCGCACAGCTGCCCTGAAAACAACACACACATTAAAAGACATACATCAATACGTAGACTGTGCCTCCGGCAGTTAGTCCCTGTTTGTCCCCAGCTATTTAAAGGGTACGGCATTAGCAGCTTCTGAAGTGACAGAAAAAAGGAGAGAGAGATTTTGTGTGGGCTTCCTCCAGGTAAACCAGTTTCCTCCCACCCTCCGAAGACATGCTGGTAGGCTAATTGACCCTATCATTGTAGTATATGTTTGTATGTATATAGGATGGAGACCTTCTACCGTAAGTTCTTGAGGTTGGGGACTGATGTCAATTTACAATATATAAGGTGCTGTAAAAAAGAAATACCTGTAATAATATATATAGGGTGTGTGTGCGTGAGGGGGTGTACCTTTTGTACCACCAGCCCCTCCCTCTTAGATTGTAAGCTCCAAGGAGCAGGGCCCTCCTAACACTCTTGTATTTAACTGTATTGTTGCTGTATTGTCTCCCTTTATATTGTATGTTAAAAACATATATTATTATTATACAGGATTTATATAGAGCCAACAGTTTGCTCAGCGCTTTACAATATAAAGGGAGACAATACAGCAATGATACACTCAATACAAGAGGGTTAGGAGGGCCCTGCTCCTTGGAGCTTACAATCTAAGACAAGTATATGTGTATATATGTATATATATATATATATATATATACATACATACACATACACATTAATTTATGTATATAGTGTGTGTGGATATAAATATATAAAAAAAGAAAATATATAAAGTGTGTGTATATATAGAGATATATAGAGAGAGAGAGAGAGAGAGAGAGAGAGAGAGAGAGAGAGAGAGATGGAGATGTTACACACACATATACAGTGAGGGAAATAGAAGAGTGAGAGATGTTATATATTATTTTTAATCCAGTCAACATGGAATGATTATACAGATAATCAATTTTGGATATTGATCCAAACTACTAAATTTCAACTCCAAAGCATTTCTTTATTTGATTTTCATGTCAGCTTTGATCATTTTCTCTATTAAAACTGGGAAGCAGCTGGCAGACTGCTGTGGTTTAAAATTGATAGAAAACTACAAAATTGCTTACAGAGCTACAGGACTGGCCATACACATGGCAATTTATTTGAGATACAACTTTTTATTTATTTGAGAGAGAGAGAGATAGAGAGAGAGAGAGAGACAGACTCTATATATAAAAAAAAGAAAAAATATAAAAATATATATATATATTATATATATACATACATATAGGCACACACACATACAGCCAGTAAAGCCATGAGCAGGAGATTCATGCACCCAAGACTGGGCACTGCAGTGGACTATTACAGTTTAATTTCCTAGAGTCGAACAAGCAGTTTACTTTTCAAGATAATTTTTGTGAATGAGGTGAAGTTCTCCTGCCTTTCTTCATCTGATCATAAGCGAACAGAAATGTCATTATTTATATGATTGGGTATTCTTTGCAAAGTGGAATGTCACCTCACTCACTGATTTCTTGGGGAAATTCCCTTGAAAAGCATACAGCCCCTTTGCCTTTAGTAAATGCACCCCATAGTAGCAGCTTGCAGAACATCATCAGCAGTTGGAAGGTGGACTTACCATGGGATTGTGGGTCCTGGTTGCTGGATGTGTCGTCCAGGAGACCATAAGCCCAGAGAGAGACCCATGTATCCTTGGTAACATCAACAGTGGGCGCTGAGGTTGCGGGGAAGTATGGGCAATCATAGCTCTGACCCCCTGCAAAGTACTGGTCTTGGCACGGCAGAATGGTGTTCTGGAACAGGGGCACAGGAGGAGGACCGGGTTAGATATGGCAGGAACAGACTTTTTTTTGTGTGATCAACAAAAGCAAACAGTCTTTGGGGAGGTAAAGCTAGCTTCTCTCCAGGAGGATCGTCTCTATTGAGATGTTGTGCTGCTGGAAATGAAGGCTCAGCTGTGTGAATGGAGATTCCGATCAGATGACAATTCATGTGCAGCCCAGGCTGGCAGCAGTCTCCAAGCCAAGAATGCACACCCAGCTTCAGTCCTGACTCCTGACTGACACCGCATAGTATTGGTGGAAGCTGAGATACAGTGTAGCAGAATACAAATCACTAGCAACAACACAGAAAGAAAAAAAAACAAAAACACAAACACACCAAAAAAACACTCTGATCTGATCCTAAAAAGAGAACTGATCGCAGAAGCTGGCCATACACTATGCAATCAACAAATCTAAACAATTCATTTCATTCCTATCAAATCAGGCAGACCCTTTACACTATATAGCTGATAGTAGATCTAATGATCTCCAATCAGTTTGTATGGTGAATCAGATTGTATAGTATATGGTGACTGGTACACACGTAGGATCCCTGCACTCACAAAATCACAGAATTAGAAGATGACATAGAATCCACCACCTCTATCAATACCCAGCAAGCCTGGCTAAGCACTCAATCCACATGTAAGTGATGGTTTCCATTGAAGTTCAAGGTCTAGGGAGGTGCAGGGAGCCATCCACACCCAGGGATCCCCCCGGACACAGCAAGGAGCACAGCCGATCACTTACCATCTTCTTGCTGGAATCAGATACTTGCACACACGTTTTCATTAAAGTCCCACACTGAGCTTTAAATGGGACCGAGGAAAGGTACTTAAGAGGCAGTCCTGATCTAAAGGAGCTCCGGGAACGCCCCCGGACTCTGCACTCACCTCTCATTGGATGCCGACCTGTCAAAAGTGTGATAACAGCAAACTCCTCATTAGGCACAATCCGGAGCCGGGCACACCCACTCATTAACATAAGGATGGAGCCCACCCCAAAAAGGACTCAAAGACCCCCTCTGGTTTTATTTCTCATTGTTAGGCAGAAGAAAGCCTTTGTATTTGTCCCAATTTCATTGAGATCCTACTGAAAGATGGGGGGCAGTAAAACAGATGAATAATGGAGCACCTCTCAGCAGCAAGTGCCAGGGCTAGTCCCTACAGGCAGCTACTATTAGGCTAGGTTCACACCTATGCAGATTGCGTTTGAGCCGTTTCTGCATTACGTTTTTGCACTTGCGTTTTTTACGCATTTTTGATGCGTTTTTCAGGGGGAGTTTTTTAATGTTTTTTTATTTTTCTTGTTGCTAGCCAGATTTAAAATGCAAAACACATAAAAAAACGCAGCAAAAAAATACAAAAATACAAACTCAGCAAAAATACAATACATCTGTGTGGGTGGTGCCGCTGTGGATCCGCACGAAAATCAGTGCAGCTGCACCACCCGCACAGAGAAATGCGGACCCGCGGGGTGAACTGCCGCATATATGTGAATCAGGGCTACATGCTTTTCTGCAGCATTTCCATTGAAGCCTGTAGAACCAAGAATGCAACTTTTTGCATTCAAAAAAGTCCCTGACCCTTTCCAAAAAACGCATCGGGTGAAAAAGCGCAGATGTGAACATGTCCCATTAAAAAATCATGTTAAATGGACTGTAGTGCATTTCTGCGAAACGCAAAATGCTGCAGAAAATGCTTAGGTGTGAATCTAGGGTAAGGTTGTAGTGGCCAGACATGCTTTGATTCTATTATCTAATCAATGTGCAACTTGATCAAAGTGATCAGGTTTTCAGGGTGTCCCCCCTTTTTCTAGGGCAAGTTCACACTACACGCTGGTTTCTGTGCGATTTCCACACTGCATCATGATCGTACCCTGTTCCTGCGAACCACTGTGGGTGTGTATGTTAACAACACCCTGAAATTGGTTCACAATATGCGGTACGATGTGCAGAATCAAATCGCAGGAGTGTGAATACCCATGCGATCCAATTCTGGTGCGGGCAAAAAAGGGTCCTGCACTATTTTGGTGCGGATGTGTTGTGATCTGAGCCATACAAAATATATGGCTGAAAATGCACCGCACAGAAATCGCAGGTGATTTGCACAGGAATGCGGTGCGGTAGCTGTGAGAATCACATGTGATGTGCTGCACTACATAAGTATGAACCCGGGCTTACTGTGCTTTTATTCTGCATCCAAAATGCACAGAAAGTAGGTTATATGGTTGTCAATGTCATAGTTCAGATCAGTGCTTGCAGTTCCAGTGCATCCTGGATGCAGAAAAAAAAAGTAATACAGGCTGCATTTTTCCTGCACAGAACTCTACTGGAATGCGGAAAAAAACGCATCAAAAATGCACCTGATCACACAAAAAAGCACTGGAACATACATGTCCCTATTTAAATTGAAGAAAAAGAGAGAGGGGAAAAAAATGAATCAGAAGGCATCAAAAATGCACTGAAACCAGGGGCGGACTGACCATTTGGAAACTCGGGCACTGCCCGAGGGCCCGAGGTCAGTAGGGGGCCCCATGAGATGCCTCTGGTACCTGTTTCATAGGCTTTTTTGAGTTTGGGCAAGGACACAGGGGCCCCATGATCCCCTATTGCCCGGGGGCCCCATGAGTTGTCAGTCCGACCCTGACTGGAACATGTCAAAACGGCATCAAAAACACGCATGCAGAAACACATCTGGTCTGTGTTTCTATGGTGTGAACCAACCCTTACACCCTGGTCACATCAATCCGACTTTGAAATCGTGTGACTTCCAGTGAGGTTCCGACTAGTGGTGCAATCTGCAAGACAAAGCTGTCTATACAAGTCACATCTGAAGTAGTGCATGCACTACTTTAGAAATCAGTATGGCTCTGACCAAGTTGGATTTGCTCCAATATGACCGCTTTGATTGTGGGAAATAGGGTGCAGCTTGCCATGCGATTTGCAACTTGCATGGCATGGCAAATCGCATTGAAAGTCACACCGGGTGTGACCTGGGTGTTACACCCCGGTCACATCGATCCAACTTTGAAATCATGCGACTACCAGTGAAGTTGAACGATTTCAAAGTCAGATGGTATTCTGACTTGAGGTGCGACTTGCAAGACATCTAAGGGTTGCAAGACACAGATGTCTATGCAGGTCGCACCTGAAGTAGTGCATGCACTACTTTACAAATCGGTGTGGCTACGACCAAGTCGGAATCACACTGATATGACTGTTTTAGTTGCACACAATAGAGTGTGACTTGCCATGCGATTTGCAACTTGCATGGCATGGAAAATGGTGTGACCGGGGTGTTAAGGTCTAAGCAGTACTAATACACAAAGTTTTAGCAGAATATCATGTAAGACAATCGGTTCACATCTATGCATGTGCAGTTGGTGCATTTTTGTGTGTATTTTCTGCATCAAAAATGCATCCATAGTGCTTTCCATTTCTTCCAAATGGCCCTAGTTCACACCAGTGCAGTCAGTTTCTGGTGCAGAAAAAAAATGACATGCTGCATTTTTTCTGCACAGAACTGTACTGGAACACATCAAAACGCATAAAAAAACAGATTGGAATGGAGTGTGGTGTGAACTGTAAGCAAAAACGCATCCAGAGTGCAGTTTTGTGGTGTGAACTGGCCAGATTTTTTTATGGTTTTAGCCTGGGTTCAGCACAATTTATAAGCCTGTTCAATGCGACTTCATTCAGTGGTTCAGGTGCAAATTGTTAAAGTGTATGAACATTGGAAATCACACTTGAACCAGGCAGAAAATATTACTGGACTCTTTTATTAAATCTCACTGTGGCCACACATATGTGAACCAGCTTCATAGAAACTGCTTCAAAAATGCATCCAATTTGCATATGGGCTGCTTCACACCAGATAAGGTCCAATGCATTTTTTTCTGCATCAAAAATGCATGCAAAGTGTTTTCTATGTATTCCAATAGCCTAGTTCACACCAGGGCAGTCAGTTCCAGTCTGTTTCTGGTGTTGAAAGAAAAGTAGAACATGCTACATTTTTTTTCTGCACAAAACTATACTTGAACACAGCGAAACAAACCAAAATCCAGTGGAATGGAGTGTGGCGTGAACAGGGGCGGACTGACCATTTGGAAACTCGGGCACTGCCTGAGGGCCCCGGGGTCAGTAGAGGGCCCCATGAGATGCCCCTGGTACCTTTTTCATAGGCTTTTTTGAGTTTGGGCAAGGACACAGGGGCCCCATGATCCCCTATTGCCCGGGGGCCTCATGAGTTGTCAGTCCGCCGCTGGGTGTGAACTATAAGCAAAAACACATCTGGAACTGGCCCTATATGTGAACTTGAAGTAGTGCAGTTTCAAAGTTACAGATCAGTGTGATTTGTGCCTCTGATTTCACTGCGGCTTGCAAATTCATTTAACAGAAGTCAATGCAAGTCGCAATGAAATTGGAAAAAGGTAGTGCAGGAACTATGTTTGAAATCGTGCTACTTCAAATCACACTGATTAAGACACTGCCATAGAAATACATTAGATGCAACTTCAGGTGCGATTTGTAAATCTCATGTCACACCTGAAGTCACACCGGTGTGAACCAGGGCTGAGGGCTGGTTTACACCATAGAAACGCAGTCCAGATGTGTTCCAGATGCATTTCTGTATGTGTGTTTTAATGTGTTTCAGTGCATTTCTGGTGCACTTAGGTGCATTCCGGTGCATTTTTTTATGCATTTTACTGCATTCCAATACAGTTCAGTGCAGAAAAAATGCAGCATGTTCTACTTTTTTTTCTGAAACGCACTGACTGCACTGTGCACTATGCCATTAGAAACTAAGCAACCTATTATTAATGCGTTTTTGATACAGAAAAAACACGCACTGGACTACATGTGGTGTGAACTGGCCCTAAAGGAAAAGCAAGCTTAGGAAAAATGCATTGCAAAAGCGCATAAAAATGCATGCCGCTGCGCTTGCAAAAAATGTGCAGTAAATACAGTTTTT